CCTGCAGCGGGAGGGCTGGAGAGCACTCCTTCCCATTTCATTTACCTTCCTGTCTCAGACAGGGACAAAAAGACATACAGACAGTAAGACTTCACCACCACACATTTGAAAACACTGGAGCATTGGAGGGGTGGGCTGTTACCTATGGTCCTTGGTTTATTTTTTGTGCTAGACAACATCAATGCAAGAGAGAATACAATAAACGTGCACAAAATAATTCATATAAATATATAGAGAGACACATACATGTTTATACACACACAAAATCCAATACAAGTTCCAGGTGACCTTCAAGAAATTACTTTGATTGTAAAATGCTATAAAATTTTAACAAAAATAATTAAATTATTAAAATAGAGAATGGATATTTATAAGTACAACAAAAATATCTGGAATTACAGCAGTTCAGGGTAAGAAATAGATGGAACTGTACCAGAATGGAGATTTAAAGGCATTTTTTTTCCTTGTTCCCAGGAAGAGACAACATATTAATTCTTTAATATTTCTCTACTGGAAGGTTTCAGCCTACCTTTCTCTAAACAACCCAGTCTTAGCAGCTGTTGGAAAGAAGAGTACTGGACTAGATAAAAGTCTTGGGTTGATAATTGCAACATATCTTATATTCCCAGAAAAACATGACATGCATTCCATTTCATTGATCCCTCCCATCTCCCAAGGCTCTCTGCCACTCTCCAAGATTACATACTTGATCTATGAAACCTCCTCCTTGAGTAGGAAGTGGTTTTCACAGTTATACTGTTGACATTACCTCAGAGATCATCTATGGTAGTTCAGACACTTGGCCCAAAAGTGAATTTTCTCTTTCACATGCAAGAAACAAATACTACCTTTCCACCTTCTCCAGAGGTGCTCATTCTCAGCAATGAGTTGAGTACTCTTATTTGACTCCCATGTAAACCAGAGCAATACAACTGCAACACCAAATCAGAAACAGGTACAGCTGCATAAAGGCTCCATTTGCCTCAAGTTACCAAGAAGTCTGCAATTTGGCCTTGACTTCATTGTTAGACAAATATTTTTGGTAGGTTTCTGCACTTGCGTGGAATCACACATGAATATATGCGTTGCTGACCATTATCTGCTCCAAAACTAACAGACGAAAGAACACAAAAAGCTTCATAGGTGCAATTTATTGCACTGAATCTCCTGTACAGGCGTATCAAAATACCTAAACTGTTTTGTCATTATTGCTCTAAGGGAACAAGATCCTGCAGGTCCAACTCCATATGCCACCATTCTTCCTGAATGGTGGCAACTCCACAGTGGGGAAAAAAACTTGAGGAATATTCATGCAAACAGCAAGAATAACACTGGACCATACAAAGAAAGTGACAACTCTGGATTCAAACCACAGGTATCAAATAATTTCCTACAGAGCTCTTTACCTAACATGAACCAATGAGTTAAGGTTCCATAAAAAGATGACAACATGGTTTTAGCCCAGATCTCCTGACAGCAAAGAGGAAGTCTGGGTTGCTATTTCTTTCACCAGCAGATTTTACATTAATGTTCTTTTTTTTCACCAGTGGTCTTTTTCACCCAACCAGTCAGTCATACCAAGCTACCAAACCTGACCAGTCCCAAAAATCTCCCTCCTTTGAGGAAGATGGTCATGATGGTAAAGTTTTTAACTCCAGTTAAGAACCAACGTTTATCTTCACTAGCTAGTTTGGTTTTCCCCACCTTGGAATGCAACTTTCATTTCCCGCATCAGTAAATGAAGTGTGATTAGTACAATACAAAAATAAATCAAGATTGTTAGGGAAATCTCAGACAAATGTCTATTTCACTGGAATATAACTTCGAAGTTTTGCTAAATCATGCAGACGGTTTTAAAATCCCTCCCCATCTCACCACAACTTCTGAGGTGGACACAAGTTGTTGTATTTCAGTTCTGTGAACTTTCTCACACAGCGTATGCAGTTTTAACTTTTCAAATAGTACCTACAGTAAGAAAAAAAACACAGAAGAGAAACGTTACACCATTTCAAGTGCTGAAACAAAAGGGAAATTATTTGGTGCCTGAGCTTAAGCCTAGAAAACAGATTTCCAGGAAAATAGAGCATACTGTAGCAATGAGAGCTATCACAGAATTGAAAAGCTCAAATGTTTATTTTTGAGCTATGAAAAAGTACTGCATTTACTAAATTCACAGACATAGTTGATGTAAATACCTTCAAATACAGGTTATCCAACATTGACAGATTTGTGAAAAACTGATACCATCCATTAAAATCAGAAAATCAGATAATATAAAGAAAGAATTCTGAAGTTGTAAGGAAAATATTATATGCTTTATAATACTTCTGCAGTTACAAGCTACAAAATAACAGTAGTATAAATACAACCTCTCTGAGCTGACTACTGCTGGACACAAGGAATCGTTCTCCAGCAACTTCATGAGCTTCCTTTTCAAGTTCTTTGAGTCGCAACTACAAATGAGTACATCAGAATTATTCTGTTCACATTCTTACTTAATTCAGTACCTGCTACTTCTCTTAGCAGTGTTAGTATTTAAAAATAGGGCACTTGATAATGTGTAATCATTGCTGGCTATCAACATTTGGTTTGATTTCTTAAACACTCTTTAATTTGTATTTCTTCATGATCTGGGAAGGGAATTTATCATAGGAAAAAGTAACAAAATTTGTGGAAAAAAATTTTAGGTTTTTCCTAAAGACTTTTTCCTGAAGACTATAGCGATCTCTGAGAAACAGCTATGGAAATTATTCTAGTAAATTAATAATCAGCCAGACCACTATGATTATCTAGTCAGATTTTATGCTACAAAATAGGATTCTCTTGCAGCTATTTTTCTTCAATGGGGAAATGGCAAACTTGGGTCTCTCAGAACACCTAAGATGTAAAGAGTGTTTTATTTACAAAGAAAGGTAAAAATATCTCTTATTTCTGTGGAAGATGCTTACTGAAAACTGTGGGTTCAGAAAAAGTCATTACAATTTTCACTCTACAACCCAAAAGGAACTGTTCGTTTTGGAAAGCAATCTCAGTTCTGGGGCAAGGCTAATGAAGCAAATGTCTCTTTTTTGCTTTCCTAAATAAACATCCTAAAGTGTAAATATAATTACTTGTAATAATAAAAATACCAGAAATCCTAAATTGTCATGTAAAATATGACAAAACAAACTCCTCCTCTTTTTAATCAGTTATCTTCAGTAAAAGCAGAACAATGATGCTATACAATTTCCAAATGGAAAAAAAAATAAAGGCAAAATTTACCCCCAGAATCTCTGATGTTTTTTTCAGTTCGTGTTTGTTCACATGTATTTTGTGTGTTTCCATCACTGTAAATACAATTATATATATACACTGAGAATATTTACAATTGACAATTTCGATCTTACATGCTTCTTAGACTGTAAAGTGGGAAGTCAAACACACAGGTGCCATAAGGCTGAGATATCATTTAGTACTCTGAGGTATAACATCTTACTTGAGCATAGTCAGCAGCTGTGTGAAAACAGTGGAGATTCATATTTTGAATTGAACTTCCATACCTGCCAGAATTTTGAGAAGTGGAAGCTCTAATGTGCAAAATAATTGCCACAAACCTTGAACCTGTAAAGCAAGATACAAAAAGCCTCAGTAACAACCAATTTTAATCTTAAAATGTATAGTAGTGTCATTATGTGGACCTATTTTCCAGCAAGCGGTATTTCATTTTCTGTATAATCCCTTTTTATATGACAAAACTGTTTGTGGAATTAAATACTACTTAGTGTGAATTAAAGTCTCCAAATACTGTAGCCTATTATCACTTCATTTTTTTTGGGAATACATTTTGTAATAGTAATCATTTTGTACAGGAATAGTAACAAGAAAATAATAACAATAAGAGGAAAAGTTTCTTCTGAGATTAACCTTGAGACTTAACCATTTCCTCCTGGAAAAGATGGCAGATTTGATGAGAAACTTTATTTTTAATGTTGACCAGCAGTGTAAAGCAATAAGGATTGAAGGCTCCTATTTAATTCTAACAGGGATTCTGATTTGAGTGAGAAGCACATCACTCTAATTCATGACAGTACCTCCGAAGTTATAGCTGAATAACTACTTTTTATATCTTACCTGTAAGTCATGAGCAAGGTCCATCATTATATTATAAAGCTTCTGCAAGTTCACACCTAAGTTTTGATACTGATAAAAAATAAATCAACAGTTTTAATGCTAACATAAATATTTAGAATACTATCTATTTTGAATGGGATTAAACTATATATTTTTCTGTATGTCTCCTCTTATATTTAGTATTTTATTAACATTCTCAGACCTCTGACAAACACAATTTATGAACAGAGTAGAACAGAACATGAATATTCAAGATTTTACCTGTTCCTTGATTTACATTTTGCACAGACTGAATACGGAGAAATAGTGTCGCTACACAACCTTTGACATTGAAAGCAGAATTCTATTGCTACTAAATGAAATTAAATTCTACTATTATTAAATGAGGAAAACTTCCTTGCAAATTTCTCCTTGCAATCCTCCTTGTCTTCAGGATGACTCTCAAAACCTCACGGTTGTGTTTCTAGGGAGTGAAAGTAAGCATGGACTGAGATACAAGTACATCTGAACGCTTGATCCCGTGCCCTTATGGTGCAAGAGTCAGCTGTACATCAAGATATAAACATAATCCATCCTCCAAACTAGGTGTGAAAATGCCTTGTACACAAACCTCACAATTTTGGCCCAGTGTTTGCAAACCAGCCCCATTATTGGAAGAAAAACAGAAGTCTGGAACCAAAGCATTATAGCAGATGCAGACTGACAAGAGCAATGCTTCACCCGTTATTCAATCCAAACAGAATGCAGAAGGAATCCAAATTACTTGTTGCTGCACAAACACAATAGAACCAGAACTGACTGAAAATTAGTTTATATTAGGACAAATTATAACACATTATTGCTACAGAGCCATGCATTCCAGTGCACGGCTGGGGAAGAGCCATCACAGGAGCTTCATCGTATTGGTCCAACTGATTTTTAGAAGTGTCAATTGTAACAGAAAAGTGGGAAACACCTACTAGTTACAAGGTTATGTTCCATGCTAAAACCAGAATTACCCAGGTTTTGGGGTAATCTTTGCTGCAGACATTTTCCTACCACATACAATATAATGAAGGGTACTAGTGTTGCAGTCATTCAGAATATGCTCAAGCCTGGACCATAGCTGTTTTTATCTTGTAATGACCATATAACTCAAGATAACAGCAGATAAAACTAAACAGATGTCTGTTAGTGGTAAGCATGTCCCAGCAGAGCCTCAGCAGCAGGAAAGAGTTAAAAAGGGGTAATGAATTCCCCTGATAGTCCATGCAGGTTCCCCGTCTACTCAAGGGCTATAAGTCTATACAACTTCAGCATTGTTTGTGTTGGTCATTTGTGAGTAGACGATATGGACACCTACTGTACAGGCTCCCCTTCAGCAGGCTTGAATACTGCAAGCCTAAGAAAAAGTAGACCCTGGAAGGCAGGATGCAGACGGCTCTCTCCAAAGCTGAAATAACTACACCCACTGATGGCCATCCTTGTTTTGTGACAGATTAGTCTTGTCCTACCAGTCAGGACTTCTCTTTACTTCAGACAGATCAATATAAGCAGGCCCGTACTGCAGCGAAAAGCCATAAACCTGTCTCCAAGAAACCTTGTCTGTACCCACTAGGTTCTGGAACTAATGAGCTGTCTGTGAAACATTATGGTTTGAGCAACAGACAGCTTGCTTGATCCCATTCTGGAGGTAGGAGTAAGACCAATGACAGGCTTCAGTTGCCACCACGATTCCTTACCAGCAAATGCAGTAATGACAAGAGCAGTATGACGTGTAGCACCTGTTTCAGCAAAAGTTTCAAGGTATATGGACTACGACCCCTTTAACTGAGCCTTTTGTCACAGCAGGAGATATAAAGACAAGCAGCAAGTAGCACATATTCTATCCTGCAGAGGTGTGTGGGTGAGTAGCAGACTACAGGATAAAAGAGCAATCATTCCAAATACTATGCGGGTGGACAGGACTAGCACAATACAGAGGGAGCTTAACTGAAGTAGTGGGGCAAAAGTCATGATGCATCACCTGGCACGGGATCCCTCTCGGAGTACAAATAACTGTTAGGAACCTACCAGTAAAGTCAGAGCAAGAAGGCTCAAGAGAAAAATCTGGCAAAGAACTAGGATTCATGGAAGAACTGGGACTCACTGAGCAAACAGAGAAGCCAAAAAGAAAGTGGGAGAGGCCAGGGAACAAATTAATTGCGTAAGGACTGGGGAGGGAATAATCGCAGGGTGTTAGAGGCAGGCATTAACTGGGACTTGGGAGTCAGCATAAAGCACTGGAGATGGTTGGGGAAAGGAAACAAACTAGCCCTGAAGTGGGACAGGAAGGAAATAAGAATTCAATATTTAACTCAGAGCTGGTAATCAGCATGACAAAGTTGAGAAATTGTAACTAACAATAGATGTGATACGTGAAGAACAAGAGACTAAGTCAAACTAAGGAAAGAGACAAGATTAAGGATGTTGGCTCACAGAAGGGGACATCACGTACAGAAATAACCAACAACTTCATAGCTTTTGCTTGTTT